GGTGGCTCTTCCTTTGGCCGGAGCTTTAGGCCCCGGGGTGGGGCTGCGGGTGGAATTCCAGGCATGAGGGGCGGTGGGAAGGCATGTGGAGGAGGGGATGGAGGGGAGGCGGGAGGAGGGGGGAGGCTGGTGCTGCCCCGACAGTCAGGTCCCTCCTCCCCCCAGCCCATCATCAGTGCCTCTGGCACCCCGCTTACTTCAGAGCGGTGCCGGCTGCCACTCCCCGCCTGCTCCTCTGGGGGGGGGGTTGTCACACAGACCTGGGCCTGGCCAGCAAGGTGCTTCCTCCCTGCAGCTGGGTCCTTCGCCCCAGAGCTGGGCGGCCATGCAGGCTGGCGGGGGCTGGGGGGTATTCGATGAGCTCACGGGGTACACAGCCTGCCAGAGCAGCAATGCAGGAGGCGCCCAGTGTGTGTCTGTTTCCTTCCTAGTTCCCCCCCTCTTAAATTCTCACTGCCCCCCAATTCCCAATATGCTCTCAGAGAGGAAGTGGGGGGAAGGAAGGACAGACCGCTGGCTCCTCGCACCCCCAGTCACTCCATTCTAGCCATATTTCCTGTGTGCTGCCCATGGGACATCACCTCCGACAGGTGGCATCTTCAGCCCGGTACAGGAATGGAAACCAAGCCCCGGGGCTCTATGCAGGGCTGGGCTCATTCTCAGCGACAGCTGGGCCCCTGAGTTGTCCAAAGCCACAGCCACTGTCCAGTCAGGGGCTTAGCCAGGACCAGAGACTGTCATGAAGTCGCCTGTGCCGGGTGTACGGTAGCCCCACCCCTTACACATTGTGGTCTGAGCTTGGGTTCCCCAGAGGCAGGCGTCCAGGTGACCACTGTGGGGAACCGGAGCTTAAGCCCACTGGGGCCCTCAGGGAGACAGGGAACTCTGCCACCCAAGGGCGACGCAGCGGGGGAACTGACCCACCCACTCCCGTGGGTTACAGGTGAGGGCTGCCCCTGGAGGGTGTTGATCCCCACCCACCTGGAGGGTGACATTCAGGCTCTGAGTGTAGAGAAGCCCTCAGATAAAGACATGCTGATGCTGCCTGGCTGGCGTGGCTCAGCGGCTGAGCATCAGCCTATGATCCAGGAGATTGGGGTTCGATTCCCGGTCAGGGCACATGCCCGGGTTGCGGGCTCCATCCCCAGTGGGGGCGTGCAGGCGGCAGCCGATCAATGACCCTCATCATTGATGTTTCTCTCCCTCCCCCTTCCTTGCTCTGAAATCCATAAAGACATATTTAAAAAAATTAAAAGTGCTGGTGCTGGCAGCTGGCAATTCAACTGGGCCAACGTACACTGAAATGAAGACAAAGGGCTATGGGATGGAATGGCTGGAGCTTCAGCAGCAGTTTTATGACTGTGAGGCAGTGAAGAGTATTAAAGTCTGAAGTTCAGCCCTGGCTGGTGTGGCTCCGTGGTTAGAGCGTCAGCCCACAGACTGAAGGGTCCCGGGTTCGCTTTCGGCCAAGGGCACGNACACAGACCTGGGCCTGGCCAGCAAGGTGCTTCCTCCCTGCAGCTGGGTCCTTCGCCCCAGAGCTGGGCGGCCATGCAGGCTGGCGGGGGCTGGGGGGTATTCGATGAGCTCACGGGGTACACAGCCTGCCAGAGCAGCAATGCAGGAGGCGCCCAGTGTGTGTCTGTTTCCTTCCTAGTTCCCCCCCTCTTAAATTCTCACTGCCCCCCAATTCCCAATATGCTCTCAGAGAGGAAGTGGGGGGAAGGAAGGACAGACCGCTGGCTCCTCGCACCCCCAGTCACTCCATTCTAGCCATATTTCCTGTGTGCTGCCCATGGGACATCACCTCCGACAGGTGGCATCTTCAGCCCGGTACAGGAATGGAAACCAAGCCCCGGGGCTCTATGCAGGGCTGGGCTCATTCTCAGCGACAGCTGGGCCCCTGAGTTGTCCAAAGCCACAGCCACTGTCCAGTCAGGGGCTTAGCCAGGACCAGAGACTGTCATGAAGTCGCCTGTGCCGGGTGTACGGTAGCCCCACCCCTTACACATTGTGGTCTGAGCTTGGGTTCCCCAGAGGCAGGCGCCCAGGTGACCACTGTGGGGAACCGGAGCTTAAGCCCACTGGGGCCCTCAGGGAGACAGGGAACTCTGCCACCCAAGGGCGACGCAGCGGGGGAACTGACCCACCCACTCCCGTGGGTTACAGGTGAGGGCTGCCCCTGGAGGGTGTTGATCCCCACCCACCTGGAGGGTGACATTCAGGCTCTGAGTGTAGAGAAGCCCTCAGATAAAGACATGCTGATGCTGCCTGGCTGGCGTGGCTCAGCGGCTGAGCATCAGCCTATGATCCAGGAGATTGGGGTTCGATTCCCGGTCAGGGCACATGCCCGGGTTGCGGGCTCCATCCCCAGTGGGGGCGTGCAGGCGGCAGCCGATCAATGACCCTCATCATTGATGTTTCTCTCCCTCCCCCTTCCTTGCTCTGAAATCCATAAAGACATATTTAAAAAAATTAAAAGTGCTGGTGCTGGCAGCTGGCAATTCAACTGGGCCAACGTACACTGAAATGAAGACAAAGGGCTATGGGATGGAATGGCTGGAGCTTCAGCAGCAGTTTTATGACTGTGAGGCAGTGAAGAGTATTAAAGTCTGAAGTTCAGCCCTGGCTGGTGTGGCTCCGTGGTTAGAGCGTCAGCCCACAGACTGAAGGGTCCCGGGTTCGCTTTCGGCCAAGGGCACGTACGTGGGTGGCAGACACGATCCCCGGCCCCGGTCGGGATGCGTGGGGGAGGCAACCAATTGATGTGTCTCTCTCACATCTTGTTTCTAACTCTCTCTCCCTTCCACTTTCTCTGGAAAAGCAATGGAAAAAAATACCGTGTGAGGGTTAAAATAAAGAAAAAGTCTGATGTTAATACGCTGCTGAGTTAACCTGCCTCAGTCCCTGACTTTGGCTTCTTGTCGTGTGAGGACATCAGTGCCTTTCTTGCTCAGGTCACTGTTAGTCGAGTTTTCTGTTACGTGTAGCTGAAAGCATCCCAAGGGATAAAGCAGCTCAGACAGAGCACGGCCCTGCTGTTACCTTGATCGCAGGCTTCTAGTCTCCAGACTGTGAGAGGACATGCCTGTTGTCTTAAGGCACCCAGTGTGTGGGACTTGGCTACAGCAGCCCCGGGACTCTAACCCAGGTGCGGCGGGTGGGTGTGGCCGGGGCCGGGGGCCACCTGTGCGGGCTCTGGGGGAGGCAGGTGGGCGTGCGCACACGCAGGTGTGCAGGTGTGCAGGTGTGCAGGTGTGCAGGTGTGCGCTCCGGGGCTCTGCTGTGCTCTGGGAAGCTCAGGTCTTAGCACAGGCATTTAACTACCAACATCAGGGCAGCCTGAGAGGAGCCGGGGGCAGGGCTGCCCTGCAGACAAAATAAAGGCCTGGTGGCTGCTATTTTAAACCAGGGCCCCTGGCCAGCCTGTCTTGGCCCTTCCACCCTGCGTCTGAGACACTGTGGGCTGGGTGTGTATTTGGTGCAGCAGCAGTTGGCGTGGGTGTGGAGAGAGCCCAGAGGTGGGCACTTTGTCCACACTCCTCCCGTCTCCACCCCCCATCTCTACCACTTCCACCAAGGCCCAGTGGGGGGTGTCTCCCCCAGAATCAGCAGCCACTGAGGCCCATGAGAGACGCTCCCAGGGGCTGTCAGCCTGAGGCTGGCTTTCTTTGCAGGGTGTCAGCAGGGTAGGAGCAAGTCAGATTGGCCTGGGTTTTCCCAGCTGGGTGGATAGGGGGTGAGGGGCACTCGGCCTGGCTTGGCGGCTGTCCACCCCGTTTTATGCATCCTCCCACGCTGGGCACAGTGGCCGTTTATAGTCAGATGTCCCCTGAGAGCTCCCAGGCCTGGGTCCAGGAAGCTCATGGGCTGCAGGTGATGCTGCAGCTTGTGGGGAGCTCACCAGGGCGCTGTCAGCCGGGCCAGCTCCTGTGGCCTCTTCACGTGGCTGGGCTGCCTCGCAGCGTGGTGGTCCCAGGCTACCTCGATTCCTCACCAGGGACCGGCCTGCCCCGAGCGAGTGAGGGGAGAACCCATGGAAGCTGGTTTTGAGAAACAGTCTAGGCCATTGGACATCTCCTGCGACATTTCCTTTCTCTGGGCCAAGCAGTCACAGGCTACCCTGGTCCAAAGGGAGGGGACTCAGATGCCACCTCTTGATGGGGGTGTGTAAAGAATGTGGGGGCACTTTTTAAAAACTGCTAGTGGCCAAGAAGGACGCCCACCCCATGTGTTGGTGGCCGTCTGTAACCCACCCGTCTCCGAGGGCCGTGTCCCCGCCTGCCTCCCGGCCAGACCCCGGACTCCTTCAGCGGGTGCTCCGTGGCCGAGGGAGGAGCGGCTGGGAACCTGGGACTAGGGGGCTGGTCCAGCTGGAGTCGTACAGCACTTGCTTCCCAGGGCGGCCTCGCAAACTCCCACAAAGTCGGTGGCTTAAGACAAGAGAAGTTTATTCTCTCCACAAGTTCGGAGGCCAGAAGTCTGAAATGGAGGCGCCGGCAGGGCCAGGCCCCTCCAAAGGGCCCAAGGGGGAATCTGTTCCAGGCCTCGCTCCCAGTTTCCAGCGGTGGCTGGCGATACTTGGCTTTTCCCGGCTCGCGGGCCCGTCACTCCAGTCTCTGCCCCTGTCATCGCACGACTGTTGTCCTCAGCACGGGTGTCTGAGTGCAGATTTCCCAGTTCTGATGAGGACCCCAGCCACTGGATCAAGGCCCACCCTAAAATGCGCTGTGACCTCATCTTAACTGCATCTTCACTGTAATCATCTTAGTGACAGCCACAGAGACCCTGCTTCAGAATAAAGTCACATTCTGGGGTTCCCAGACAGCAATTCTGGAGGGACACCACTCAGCCAAGGAGCGGAGGTGCCCCCGCCTCCGCTCCTTGGCCCCGGGACGCGGCCGAGCGGCCTCCCGAGTGGAGGTTTCGTGGGAGCCCCTGTCGCACCGGCATCTGGCCGGTCCCCGCCCCACCCTCCCTGCCAAGTCAGCTCCCTCGAGAGTCCTGGGTTTCCTGGCTCCCGCCGGGGCCCCGGGAGATAAGTCTGGGGAGCACGTGAGAAGGTGATCAGGCCCCTGGACCTCTGCCCAGGCTGGGTCCTCGCCCAGGGCGCCCTCTGCCTGTCTTCTCTCTGCAGCCGCCTTCCAGTGCCCCTCGCGCCCGGGTTCCAGGGATGTGACGGGCGGGGTGTGTCCCCTAAAGTGCACAGGCTGGAGCCCTAACCCCTGAGCCTCAGAATGTGACTGTACTGGGCCTTTAAAGAGGTGAGTAAAGTGAAATGAGAGCAATGGGGTGGTCCCCGATGCCACAGGCCTGGTGTCCCCATAAAAGAGCTTAGGACACAGGCACACAGAGGACAACCACATGAGGACACGGGGAAGACAGCCGTGGGCAAGCCAAGGAGAGAGGCCTCGGGAGAAAGGCTTCTTCATCCCAAACTGGGAGAAAACACCCCAGCTGTTTAAGCCGCCTGGTCCGCGGTGGTGTTGCCGCAGCCCCAGCCGACTCGGGGTGCTGGGGAAGATGAGGTAAACGGTCCTGCCGCTCTGGAGGCCCCACGGGTGTAGAACAAACCCACGGACAGTCCGTGGGTCGAGGCCAAGAGAAAGCAGCAAAGGGCCGCACTGTGGCCGGAGGAGCCCCGGGAGGCCCACGTCCTGGCTCCTGCCCGAAGCTCTTACAGAAGCACGTTTGATGTCCCTAACTGAGGACAAACACAATTAAACACCCTCCATTCGCCTCCCCTCCGCTGGGACACCCCTGCTGTCCGCACCCAGGTTGTGTTTGGGGCCCCCCCTGACATCCCACAGACCGCTGGCCTCGGGTCCATCTCCCCCCAACCGGGGGCTCCCCCTGGGCAGGGACTAGGGTGTGCCCTGTGTCTCCAGTGGCCCTGGGCCAGGCATGTGGTCTGAGCTTGTCCAATCGAGGCTGGAGATGGGAAGGGCCAGGAGTGGCCCTGTCCTAGTCCCGGGTGAGACAGCTGGGACCTTGAGACCCTCCACTCCCACATCCAAACAGGCAACAGCTGGGCCTTGGTCTTGGTGGCTCACAGAGGACCAGGCAGGGCTGGGCGAGGGCTCAGAAGCCCGGCAAAGCTCCTTGCCCTCCGGCAGCGGAGTCCCATGTCCCACGGCGCACCCTGGGAGCACTTGGCCTTGAGGAGGCTGGTGAGCAGGGCAGCTGGTGGAGGCCAACGCCGACGATGCGGGTGGCTGTGTGACCTGCTGTCGGCAGGCGCCAGGCCTAGAGGACAGTGCAGGACCTGGCACATCCGGGAACGGAGAGCCCTGGAGAGCAGTCATGGGAGGGCAGCCTGGTGGGTGAGACACCAGTGGAAGGCGATGTGCGTGGTGCCCTGTGCTCAACACTCACATCAGCGCCCATTTCACAGATGAGAAGACCGAGCCTGAGCAAGTTCACAGAGGAGGAGAAAAGAACTGGGCTTTGTTTCCCAGTCACCCTCCTTGTATCCCAGTCCTGTCCCCTGTCCTTAGTGACTGTGGGGACCATGGCCCATTCAGGCCCCCGCCACCCCCAGCCAGGGGTGGCTTCAAGAGTATTCTGAGCCTCCGAGGCCGCCTCTGATTGACGGTGAATTGAGTCGACATGCAATTTGTACCTTGAGTACGAAGATACGGTCGTTGCCAGAAGAGAACCGAAACCAGCAATGAATAACTCCTGTGCTTTCAACAAAAACACCAATAAAATGAAAGTTTGAAAAAATACCACTCAACCCACCCAGGCGTGAAGGGGAGAAAGCATACCTACCGCAAGTTATCTGAGAGGGGCTCCTGCGGCAGAGGGGCTGGGCCTGCTCCTCGTGGGGCTGGGCCGGCGCCAGCTCACGGGTGGGAGACAGCAGGGCTGCAGTGGGTACACCAGGGGTGTCACCTGAGACAGGAGGCCTTGCCTGGCTCTCTCCCCTCCCTGGCCCAGCATGTCACCTATGAGCCAGGCAGGCCCTGCTGGGAGGCCTGCAGGCCCTCGCACAGGCTGTTCCTTTGGCTTGGAATGCCTGCCTCTGCCTTCCCTAGCAAACTTCTATTCATCCTTGAAAACCCCACCAAAGTGATGTCATTTCATTCATTCACCAGTGGACATTCCCTGAGGTCTGTTGGGCTGGGCCTGGTGGGGAGGACCTCAGGGTGGGCTGCATTACACAACTGAAGGTTTGTGTGCCCCCCCATTCATAGTCTGAGACCTTAGCCCGCAGTGTGATGGCGTTAGGAGGTGGGCCTTTAGGAGGTGAGTAAGTCATGAGGTGGGAAGATCATGAATGGGATTAGTGTCCTGACAACAGAGATCCCAGGGGGCTCCCTCCTGCCTTCTGCTGTGAGGACACAGCCACACCAGAAGTGGGCCCGGCTGGTCACTGACTCTGCCTCAAGAGCCTTGACCTTGGACTCTGGCCTCCAGGACCATGGGAAATAAATTTCTGATGTTTAAGCCACCCTGTCTTTGTTATGGTTGCCCGAGCTGACTGATACCCGTAGGAGACAATTCTAAGAGGGGCGATGGGGGCCACTGGGAGAGAGTAACAGCCAGAAGGATCTGAGTTCAAGTCCCTTCTCCATCACCACTCAGCTACGTGACCTTGGACAAGTCCCTTCCCCTGCCTGGGCCTCTGTTTCCACATCATAACAAGACCCCTCTCTTGGAGCCCCAGGTTCCAGCCACCCACTTGGAATGGAGAGGCAGCGACCTGGGCAGGGACAGAGAACTGAGTTCCAACCCCAGCTTGGCCACCCTGCGTGACCGGGGCTGTCACAGAGCCCGAGCCTCACTCACGCAGCTGAGTGGGATCTTCTCTCTCCTGCACTCACGTGGCTGGCCTGGTGCTGGCTGAGGGCGGACCTCGCTGGGGCTGTCTGTCGGCTGGAACACCTGCAGTGGCCTGTGCAAGTGGCTGAGGGTCTTCAGAGCATGGTGTCCCCAGGCAGTCTGGCTTCTCAGCCAGGGGCTCAGGGTTCCTCGTGTGAGGGTCCCAGTGTGTGGGGTGACGTCGTCTCCTTTCCTGACCCCGACTTGGAAGTCACAATGCCACTGCCCTGTGTCCGGTTATAAGATACAAGGTTCCAGCTCCAACGAGAGGAATGTCAAGGTCACATTGTAGAAGGGAAACGTTGTGTGGCCATCCTCAGAGGATACAATGTGTCATGACAACCGCTTGGGAGGCCAGGCCATGCCTACAATGTGGCAAGTTTATCTCCTGGAGTTGAAATTGTGACCTGGTGTGGGGGAGGCGGGGAGAGAGGGGGAGAGAGAGGAGTGGGGAGGAGGGTTTGGAGAAGGTGCTCAAGGTCTGTGGTCGCCAGTCCTGAGTGGAGTTTTGCCTCTGGGGCAAGGCTGTGTGGTGAGGCTCGTCCCTCCGTCCCTCCTCAGGTCTGATGACCCTGCCCTTGGAGAAGCACTTGGGCAGAGCGCTCATCTGTGGTGCTTTGTCCAGCTTCGCCCCTTTTAGAGCCAGCTCTCCCCAGGGCCCTTTGGGGACCGGCCTCTATCTTGCTGCAGATCTGAGGTTGGCCATACCCTCCCCCCGAAAACTGATGTTCATTAGGAGAGGAAGGAAAATGAGAGGGAGGGGGAGGTGAGAGGGAGGGGGAGGGAGCCATGTCCTGTACCTGAAGGTGTCCACCTTTGGCTTTGTCCAGTGTTGTTGCTTAAGGCAGGTGGGTACCGACCACGGACATCTCCTTCCTCCTCTGGGTTGAGCCCTGTGCCGTCTGGCCCTCCCCTCGCTCCTGGCCCTGTCCTTACCCTGGGCGGTGTCCCCCTCACTTTGGTTCTTTGTTGATCCACTGTCCCACTGTCAGCTCCGGGGACAGGACTCTGGTCCCCTCTGTCACTTTTTCGTCAGGGCCTAGCACAGGGCCAGACCCAGTGGGTGTGTGTTAAACACGAGTGGGTGATGCAAGGAGGTGGGCGTGTGGCCTCAGGAAGACGCCACCACCAGGGGGTCTGAGCTGAGTGGGCAGCTGAGCAGAAGCTCCACGAGCTGCAAACTGGAGACCCGCGGGTGCCCTACCCAGGGGCTTTATTTTGGTCAGCATAGTGGGGATTTTAATCCTCAGCTGAGGATATTGTTTTAATTGTTTTTCAGAGAGTGGAAGGGGGGGGAGAGAGAGAGAGGGAATCGATTGGTTGCCTCCCACAGGCACTCAATGGCCTCCTGTATGCACCCCAACCGGGACTGGGGATTGAGCCTGAAACCGAGGTACGTGCCCTTGGCTGGAATCAAACCTGGGGCTCTTCAGTCCTCGGGCTGATGCTCTAACCACTGAGCCAAATTGGCTAGGGCTGTTTTTTTGTTTTGTTTTGTTTTTTAAATTGATTTCAGAGAGAGGAAGGGAGAGGGAGAGAGGGAGAGAAACATCACTGATGAGAGAGTCATTGATCGGCTGCCTCCTGCACACCCCCTACTGGGGACCTAGTGGGCAACCCGGGCAGGTGCCCTGACCAGGAATCGAACGGTGACCGCATGGTTCATAGGTTGGTGTTCAACCACTGAGCCACGCTGGCTGGGCTGGCATAATTTTAAAAGTAGTGCCAAGGAGCCGCCACAGGAGGGTCGCCCAGGCTCAGAGCAGGCGTGCTGGAGAGAATACATTTTCATGTGTTGTGTGAGGGGTTTTTGTCGCTGCAGCATCGCTTGGCTCATCCTGACTGATACACCAGCTTCCTATTAACAGCAGCAGACCCGGGCTTTCCTACTTCTGTTCATCTTCTTCCTGACTTTCGTGGGCGCTTAAGTTTGGGACAATGTGTTAATTTGCTAGGGTGGCCGTAACAAAGGACCACAGGGTGGGCGATGTAAACCACAGACATGTATCGTCTAGCAGCTCTGAAGGCCAGGAGCTCAAGGTCAAGGTGTGGGCAGAGCTGGTTCCTTCTGGGCTGTGAGGGAGGGCCTGCTGGGGCCTCACCCTCTGCCTCGAAGATGGCTGTCTCCTTTCTGTCTTTCCACACGTCTTCCCTCAGTGTCTATGTCCCTTTTATTAAGGACACCAGTCACAGTGGCTTAGGGCCCACTCTACTCCAGGGTGACCTCGCCTTAACTAATTACACCTGCAATGACCCTATTTCCAAAGAAAGCGGTGCCCTGAGGTTCTGGGGGTTAGGACCCGAACATACCAATTCTGGGGGTACTCCATTCCTAACAGGTGACCCCCTAGAGGAGGGTGTGTGGGAGCTGGGCCAGGGGAGCAGGCTGGACAGGGGAGTATGAGGGAGAACTCAGACATTTCTTTTCCAGCAGGGCTGGTTCTAGAAGCTTCTTCAGAGACTCCGTGTGGCTACAGATGTGGGAGTGCATGTGTGCATGCGCTGGGGGTTGGGGGCTGCCTCCTGCTCATCTCCAAGTGGAGAAAGGGGGGGGATGCGGGAAGGAGGTCTGTCAGGTTTGATCCTAGCCGGTTTGTTTGTGATTTGATGCCATCTCTGGAAATGGATTGACTTGGGGGGAGGGGGCAAGAGAGGCAGAAAGGAGAGGGAAGCTTTCGAAGTTATAGCCATGGGAAATGTTTTTATTTTTTTATTTTCTGCTTGAAAGAAAATGCCAAAGAAACATTTTTTTTTTTTTTTTTTTAAAGGGAAGGAGGTGAAGAGAGAGTGAGAAAGAGAGAAAGTGTGTATGTAAGAGAGAAAGTGAGAGAGAGACATCCTGGGAGCCTGTGGGTGTGGGACGCTTCCTGGAGATGCCACCATGGGCCATGGAGCACCAAAGGGGAGCATAGAGGTGGAGGTCTGGGCTTGCTTGCTGCCACCCCGGCCTGGTGACCTTAAGAGGGTCACCCACTTCTCTGGGTCCCAGGGACCATTTAGAGTAGTGTGTCTGCGACACGGGTGCAGATGCGTGGGATGGGCCGGTGTGCAAGTAACAGAAAGAATGCAGAAAGGGACACCTGGGGATTGTGTGTGTGTCAGAAACCAGAAGACCCCGGGAGATGGGAAATGGGAATCCCCAGGTGTGCCCTGAGGGGGCTGGAGGCCAGGAAGGGGAGCTCCTGAACTGACCACAGCCCCCTCAGGCCAGGGCCAGGAATGTGCCCTGGGTCGGCCTGACCTCACCCGGCCCCAGGCCAAATGGACTCCCACTAACCTCTGACCTGTCACCTCCCCCCCAGGCGAGGACAGGGGAGAGGCCCTAGTAGAAGGTAGAGGATTGATGGGAAAGGGCAGTAAAGGGGGTGGCAGGGTGGAGGGTGGGTTCTTGCCGGGCCATTTACCTTCTCTAAGCTAGTCTGGGGTGGGCCAGGGGCTCTCAGGGGTGCTGGGGTTCCAGGTCTGTATCCCCAGCCCCCCACCTGGCCTAGCGGCTACTTCTGAGCTGTATGAATGTGTCACTTCTTTCTGCACCTCCGTTTCTCATCTGTGAAACTGCAGGACAGTATCAAAGTCAGAGGGTCGTCAAAGCCGGCTCAAAAGGGGCCAGTTTGCACAAAAGCAATTTTCAGACTATAAAAGAGGAAACGGGGAGGATTCTGCAGGGAGGGGGTGGGGCCGGCCTGGATTGGCAGGGGCCACGTGGGTCAGGGCAGTGGAAAGGGACCCGGCCCCTCTGGGAGCCAGGCTGGCGGTGGAATTTGCTCCAGAATTCTCAGCTTGCACAGGCCTGCCAGGGAGGGCTGCAGGGGCCCGGCACCGCTGCAGCGGGAGGCAGCCCCCTCCGGGGCCCCATCCCCACCTAGGTGCAGCGCCCCTCCCCCGCGGGCAGCAGCCCTTCCCCCACACACGTGCTGCCAAGCCCTCCATTAGTCACCCTGGCACCGACATAACATAAATCCCATTAGTCACACCCGCACAAACTCGCCTGC